GCATTAAAAGTTCCATTAATTCCCTCTTCGAAGTTTGCTATTTTTTCAAAAATGTTCAAAAATTCTTAACGAGTAGGGGGTCGTCAAAAATCATAAAAAACAACTTGTGTTTATTCTTCATACCCAGCATATTTAAGCATTCTGGCAAGGTAACCATGGTCCGATTCGTTTCCGTTCGTGAGATATTTCAGTGCAAACTAGGGGCTTTTTTTCTGGCCCACCCTGTACATTCCACGAGAGCGCCGCGCGGCGTCGGAGCCTGTGCAGGGCTCCGCGCCGCTTGAAGAAACCGAAAAGCTTAGGAAAAACCTAATTGAAATGGCTGTCCGCGTTTTGAATTGCTAAATGGTTCGTATGTAGAGAGTATTGGGCCCAGAAGTTGCAATGTTCGAGACTAACCGTCAGTACGGCATAGCCCAACGAAGTTACTTTGCAGGCAGAATCGATTGATGCGCACGTTAAAAGAATCTTTATTCGTCTAAATCCTCATCGAGCCTTTGTTGAATGTTTTGGAGGAGCACATATAGATAACATATAGATACATAAGCCGGCAACCACCCACGGCCCATAACTCTCCAGTTGTCGCTTCAAGCGACCGGTGTAAATATCCCAGGCATCCGAAAGGAGTAGCTTGTCTCCCGGGCCGAGGTTATGGTAGAGGAGCACTGAAAATAGATAGCTTTCTAAACCGCACAACTTAACAAACCCGAAGCACCGACGACCCAGAAAGAGTGATGACAAAAGCAGACGGAAAGCCGAAGGAAGCAGGGCGTAGAACACTGAAAGAGGGGTTTTAGTTAAGGGCGGGGGGACATTGCTTATCTACTAAAACGTTAGCTGACAGAAATTTGTTAAACATGGTGACAGAATCAAATTTGCGCAAAACATCTCAACCAATTCACTCTTAACTTGATTCACTAGTGTTTGCCTCCATGTGAAACTTGAAAAGGTATGTCCGTTTTCTCGCCCAGCAGGCCGAATTTCGGGCTTTTTTGACGTAGGTGAGGAAACACCTGCGTGAAAAGGATTTTTTTTTTGTTCTAAGCAATTCGATTCATTTAACGATTATGCAAGGGTTTGAGATGGGTCCAGTGGCAAAGGGTGGCGAAGCGGTCTCTTCCGCTGTTAAATAAATAGGGAGAAAGCCCAAGCTTCTTTCTTACGGTCTCCGGTCGGAAATAATCGAGAAAGCAAAACATAGCGATGTACATAACGCAGGTCCACATGAGGCACACAGCGATATCGAGCAGCTCAGCTTTCGTCGGTAGGCCCCCATTCTGAAGGTAAATCGTTTGTGGGAGGGGCAATCTTTTGAGGACCGGGCCATGGATCCAGGCCCGTAAGAGGGGGGGAGGGGCGAGCCGCCCCCCCCCCCGAAATTTGGGTTTGTTACGGCCCTGCATGGATCCAACCTGCTCGTGAGTTGGGACCATGCGAGGCATGGCTACGTCAGCATAACGTAACTTCGCCATCTCCAATTTCATCTGGGATATCTGACGTTCTTTGGCTTCAAGTCGGCTCTGTAAAGATCCGTGAAGGAGGTTAGCAGAGATTATTTAAACAGAGGTGACCGGTAGAGATTCTTGAAATGTGCACATTCAGGGAGTTGGACGTATATTTAAATTTGGGTGCCCCGAAATCTTGGCTGTCGTACGGGCTTGCACTTGTCCATAGCAATACATCTATACATCCAACACTTTGAGCTTACGCTTTAGGGGAAAATGAAATATTCTTACTTCGGTTTCTTTCATCTTTCTCCTCTCTTCGTCCAAACGTTCCCTGATCGATCGAGATGTCGATTTGGCTATTCATTGACGCAAAAAATGTTTTATGGTACCTTTTGCCGAATCCACATCATCGCTGCTATCACAGAATGCAGATTGAGCGTCGTCCACATGCATCAATCTTAAATTTTGGGATCCCATCTCCTGTCGTGAAGGATCGTTAATAGCGCCAAGAACTATGTTAATAGCCCTTTATCATGCATCATAAGAACGGCTACTTTAGAAAAAAAGATCCTTGGCGAGGAATCGATAAGACAACAATAAAAAACACACCTTGAGCCACAGGTACTTCTACTCAGGTACTAGAGAGAGAGAGAGACGCTGAACAGGCGCGGGAAGAGCAGAATTCTAGCAGGTTGGCGAAAATTCTTTAGACAGGGCGGGCCTCGACCAAATTTGGTTGACCTGCGTACGAAATGATAATACCGGCCATCTGCCTCGAGTGATCTTCCCGCGCGTGTTCAGCGTCTCTCTCTCTCTCTCTCTCTCTCTCTCTCTCTCTCTCTAAATGCATAGATTATGGCCAGGATTTCTATTTATTATTTACTATATTATTTTATCTACTATATTATTTTATATATTATTCTCCTGGCCAGGAAAATCCTGACCATAATCTCTGCGCCCAACCTGCTAGCCTCCCGTTTTCTAAGAATATCTGCTAGCCCGCCGTTTTCCAATTAATTGCTGCTAGTTTGTCCCCCCCGAAAAAAAATGATAACTACTAGGTGGGAGTCAAAGAAGCAGTAAAATAGTTTAAATATCGGTTTTCAAGGCGTGAAAAAGCACTGGGTCTTTTTCGGCGTCCCTCGATTGCCATTTCAAAACGTCGAAAATGCCAAAATTCGGTCCCCCCTCTCATTTTCTCAGTGCCCTCTGCAGTCCACCCCTGTTCTGAAGAATCTTTGCGAGATGCGAGTAACCCTTTCCTTGTTAGATGCTGGAGTGGGCCAGGTGGGTGATCCCCGTCAGCTCGATGTACTTCTGCTATTGGTTCGCCGTCACCAGTCACATCCAATGCGATCACGTAAATATTTATGCCAATCCGAAGCTTAAGCCTGAGCTTGCGCTTAAAGCACGTATCCCCCATTTTCAGCACGCTCCAATCCCGACGGTCAACGGGCGACCGGCAGGCCATCCTATCCTTGAGCGAGTTTTGACCATTTTCAGGTCAATTCATGCGCCAGTCTTCCAACTTATTGGTTCTTCATGCTAATATTCGCCGCCAGCTGCTTTGCAGCTACTTCAGCCCGGGATGGAAAATATTAATGTGTTTTCACCTCTTTGTATTTCCCGTTTCAGTTCCGTGGTACATCTTCAGCTTCACCCCGCTAGAACAGACGCTTTTTGATCGCGCCTTTTGGATGATTTGCGCGCGGATTCAAGAGCGAGCGCGTGAGCACTGGCTGAAGCTGGTGGGCGCTTTTTGCCTGTATTACTTCCTCTATTCCTCCCATATGAGTTATATAAACACGAGGTGAAACAGTTAATATCTTTCTCTCTCTCTCTCTCTCTCTCTCTCTCTCTCTCTCTCTCACACGCTCTCTCCTTTTGTCTGGATTTGCCATTTTCCTCTGGAATATCGTAGACGTGACATTGCACATATCTTTCGAAATTTTTCTTGTCTTGTATTGTTATAACTATTTTTACCGTGTTCTTTGTACAGGGTGGTCCAAAAAAAAAAAGTGAAGTTTGCACTGAAATATCTCGCGAACGGAAACGAATTGAACCATCGTTACCTTGCCAGAATGCTTAAATATGCTGGGCATGAAGAAATAACACAAGTTGTTTTTTAAGATTTTTGACGACCAGTGTGTCGTTAAAAAGTTTTGAACATTTTTAAAAAAGTAGAAAACTTTGAAGCGATAAAGTATGCTGCTTTTGATGAGTGAGAGGGCTTTCAAGGGTATCAAAATGAAGCTCTTGGAATGCGCTATCAAACGCGTGGTAAAGAATTTTGATCGGTTTAACTAGCCGTCAAGAGGAGCCTTCGGAAAATCCGTACTTTTCCGGAATGGGCGCCTCCGAATTGACCATAAAAAGCACCTTGCTGCCCAAATTTTTTGTACGTATTACATGCAATCCTGTTTGCCAAAGATAACCATGCTATAATTTTAACTAAAGGAGCCTAGAACTTACAAATTCGGTCGAATTGGCAAAGTGCCAAAAAATTTTTTGATCGCGATTTGAAAATTTTTGTTGCCAAAAGTTAGTAGTTATATATCTATTGCTAATTGCAAAATATCAGAAAGATCGGATGGTAAAGTAATTTTATCTGGAATTATTTCCCCAAAAAGTACGGATTTTCCGAAGGCTCCTCTTGACGGCTAGTTAAACCGATCAAAATTCTTTACCAGGCGTTTGATAGCGCATTCCAAGAGCTTCATTTTGATACCCTTGAAAGCCCTCTCACTCATCAAAAGCAGCATACTTTATCGCTTCAAAGTTTTCTACTTTTTTAAAAATGTTCAAAACTTTTTAACGACCCACTGGTCGTCAAAAATCTTAAAAAACAACTTGTGTTATTTCTTCACGCCCAGCATATTTAAGCATTCTGGCAAGGTAACGATGGTTCAATTCGTTTCCGTTCGCGAGATATTTCAGTGCAAACTTCACTTTTTTTTTTGGACCACCCTGTATGAAGATAGTTGTATCTTCTCAATACCGACCACCCATACGCCGCGAGTGCTACCTGTTCCCTAAATGTTGCCCCAGTGTTGCCATAAATAATTTTTGCAAATTTGTTACGCGCAAAAGATGTGAAAGGCCTCTCTGTTTCTACTATTAATAGAGTTTCCCATAGTCTCTTCGGATCATAAAATAAAAAACGACAAGTATAACCGCTCCGGGAAGTATTATTATTGTCAGTAGGCATAGGAATGCGCGAACCGATATCGCGCCCATCAGAAAGAATCTTCTTGTCATCGGGGCTGAGGTTACGTTACGGTAGAAGATCACTAAAAAAAGGATTTTCCAGGAGCCCAACTGGTAAAACGCCTCTCTCCTTGACTCTCTCTCCTCTCCTCTCTCTCTCTCTCTCTCTCTCTCTCTCTCTCTCTATCCATCTCTCTGTGTCTGTGTCTCTCATTCCCCGCTGCTTACTATTATGTACCTACATAAAACCTTTTTCTTTTGAAGTATTTATTACACAAGGACACCCGTAAATACAAAAAATCGGGTAATAAGCAAACATTTTTCTATTCCATTTTAAATTCCTCAATTCTTCAAAGACGAGCAGCAAATAGGGCGCGGTAGGCGGCGAGAATCGGGTCGTCGCGCGACGGCAATTCGAACGTCAGCTAAAACGCGGAGATACATGGTGAACAAGGTGGTTCTGGTTCGTTAGCGGTGGGGGATTTCTTTTGCATTATCGGGGGGAAGGGGTGGGTTATCGGCGCGGCCGAAAATTCTTTTATGAGTCTAGAAATGTCTAATAACTTAATAGGAAGTGTTAAAAACTTTTTGTATGGTGAAAACAGTCCAGGACCAAAAACCCTGCAAAAATATGCCGTCATTTATTATAATAATTTATTACAATAGGCTGAAGCAAAAAAGACAGTTTTCCAGTTGATCAACCTCCTTCCCCCCCGCTAACGAACCAGAAACGCGGAGAAATCGACATTTCCCGGATTTCACAAAGGACCCACCTTGTACGCCTTGTGGTAGGGGCCCCCAATCGAACTGCGGGCACAGCTGAAGAAGGTTGTGTAAATTAAAACTGTGAACATTAAATTCGTATACAAAAACTTTCAGGGTTAAACTGATTTTTACCAAAACTATTTTACATAGCATGATTTTGCGCTAAAATAAAAAATCTTACGGGATTTTTTTGACGCGCTATCGAATGTAAAAACTTATTGTATCATTTATTGAAATGAAATTCAATCGCGCAAAATCGCGCAAAATCGCGCAAAATCGCGCAAAAATAGCGCAATATCACAAAAAAATTTGGGCTAACTGCTATTGTAAATAAATGCTAATAAATATTACCAGACGATCGATGGCACGCTCGCGCATCGGGACCGTGTCCGGCGGGTTCGCCTTAGCCCGCTCTTCCAGTGCAATCGCCAAGCACTCCTTTTGCGTCAGGTCCTAAAAAGAAACCTAATATTTTCCATGATTACGGTTTCGTTATTTCGTTACTTATGGCTAAACAGAGGAGCTACCCCGCCGTTCTCCCCGGAAACGAAAAAAACCCGAATTTACCTCATGATACGGGACCTCGTCGAGGACGAATCCCTCGCATTCCGGCTGGGTTCGATGCCTGAAAATCGGCATAATTCTGCCCGCGAAAATCCAATGCGAATGCCGCAGAGAAATATGTAAAATCTTCGGCGCTGGACTGTCAACGGGGGGGTCAGCGGACGGAGTAGATCCTTACTTCGCCCCCTTATCTCACTTCCACTGATCTATAGCGTATTTTTTCAATGTTTTTATCTGCTTTTTTATTGCCAAGAAATCGTAATAAGTTCAAAATTTGCTAAATTTAAAATACTTACATTTTTCGGCCTAAAAATCAAAAAGCCAACAAGGTTTTTCTAATTATTATGTGAGGGTTTCATAGCTAAAAACGACGCAGTGCTATTACAGTACAGGCCCCCGCAAACAGTCCAGCGCGAAATCGAGATCTTGCCGACCTTCTCAAGTTGTAGTCGCAGCCGATGAGGAAGATGCTCTCCCGCCTCACGCCAATCAGAAGACCTTCGCGGCTCTGCAAATAATCAAATTTTATTTTTTTCTTAAATTCACATATATACAAAAATTTATTTTACTATAAACTGAACTCACCAATGGACCCCGGCGGATGAGCCAAAACGGCTCGGTCGACTTCGCCCAGTCGATGCAGTACGGGTCGGTCTTGCCCTCGGCAAGCGTGGCGGCGATGCGGCAGATTCCTGAATGGTGGTATATTTGAAAATCGTAAACACGTTAAAACTATAACCAATCCTTCCCCCGTGAGATGAGGGGTTCTGGACTGTTAGCGGGGGGGGGTTTAGCGGGGGAACCAAAATTTCCCAGTGATTCTCTACCGCCTTAAAATATAAACCATTTGCATAGCATTTTACATAGAGTTTAGATTAAAAAATACAAAAATAATAACAACCAGGGTTGAAAAGCCGCTTCGCGACTTTTCAACCCTTCCCGTCTAACTTGATGAAATTCTTCACTCTGCATACGTCTCTCGAATTCCTATGGGGAAAAAATGAGGAGTTCCACACTCTCAGGTTATATCGAGGCTGCCGCCACTTCCGGCGTATGCTAATTATTTCCTAACAAAGAAGGCTGCCGGATTTTTCAACAAAAACTCAATTTTAATGTCGAAAACAGCATAATTTGCAAAATCTGATATGCGTGCAGTGATCTCGGGGCCGTTACGCACCTAGTGACGTATCATACGTAGCTTAAGACCCTTCCCCTCTTGAGTTATCCTCCGGATACGGTGACGGAAGTTGCATGCAAATGCACACACACACACAGACACTATTTTTTTATATATAGTAGGATTGTCGAAAAGCTTTGAGTTTTTGTTCAAAAATGTAGGAAAAATGAACAAAAATGGCCGAAATTTTGAAATTTTGAAAAATTTAAAAATGCTCCAAATTCCCCCGCTAACAGTCCAGCAACAGCTAAAGCCCCAACCGGCGTCGATCAGCGACCAGGCAGCCCAGGCGTCCGGTCTCGTCACGGGCTGATATAGCGAGATCAGCGTGATGTTGTCAATTTGGCGGCTCCCTTTCTCCCATTGCTGGAAAAGCAATTTTTCGATCTGGCGAATATTTTATTCACGGTTTTGCATAGTTTTTCGGTATAAAAGGCTCATCAACTTACAAAAAATTTCGAAAAATCCTGACTTTTTGGTCCAAAACCGGGTAAAGTAAACCGTAGCCTTTGAAAATTCTGCCGACCTCGATGATCAGCTGCAGGGTGGGGGCGAGCGCACGGACGAACTCGTCGACCAGTATCTTCTCCGGTTTCCAGTCCGCCCAGCCTAAACCAGCGACATTCAAATGGCTAGACGGCGCAAACCATCGATAAGAGTGAAGTGCGCGGTGATCGTAGGCGCCTTCACGTCGATCAGCCTGGCCACCTCGCCGACGTGGCGTCCGAAGAACACCCAGAACTTCTCGAGGCCCTAAAAATATCCAAAATTCAGAAAAATCGCTTGTCAACCGAATTTTCAGGGTTATTTTTTCTGTTGTTATAACTATCTTAAATTAGAGTATTTTGATCTAGACTTAAAACGCCTAGTGTAATTTTTGATGTCTACCGGGTCACGATGATGTAGTCCCAAAAAATAATGAGATACTAAAAAAATCTACGACATGCAGCCCCGCCCCGCTAAGGAACCAAAACCGAAAATGGACAAAAAAATCAACGTTACAAATTTTCGAAAATTTATTTGCTAGGTAGGTGTAGGCAAGGTCCCCTCGCTAACGGTGTAGAACCAAAAAAACTTCGAAAGCCAAAGCGAAGTACCGGGAGCATAGGCATAATCGCCGAAATCGTAGCGCGAAGGATGACGACTTCAGCTGCTTCATCCTCTTCACGCTCTTCGGGTTCTTGAAGGCTTTCAGCGTCTTCTTCTTCCAGTTCCACGTGGACGGCAATGCCCCGCGGATCGAGGGCGCCTAGAAATACAGGTACTGCGCTGTTAACCAGGGGGGTAGCAGGGAAACTAGTTTTTTTTCCGCCTGTTAATAATAAATCTGTGTTTTTGCATAATCTTTTTCGTAGTCTTCGATTGCCAGAAAGTTACAAAAAACCTTCAACCACTTTTGAAACTATGAAAATTGTCACTTTGGTCATTTTTCATAAGTTTCTGACCGAAAGGTCGAACATTTTCTCGAAATAAGCTTTTCTCCGCTTTTTATATCCAAAAACTGTATAAAGTAATATAGAAGTTGTCTATATTTCGTCATAAGGCCGTGCAGGATTACTGGGAAAAATTAGTTCTTACCGACCGCTAAAATCCCGCCGTGCTAACAGTTCAGTACAGGTTAAATTTCCCACCGATCTGTTGAAACGCTTCCATCGGATCACGAATCGGCAACAAGACGGTGTGGGCATGGATGTGGGGCGAGATGTTGTACTTCTCGGCAGCCGGCAAACTCCAGTCGCTCCCGATGCCGAACTGTAAACGCAAGTTTTTGTTCGAAGATATTTTAATCGCGCCGATAAATTTTTTCGTAGGATCAGATCTATCTTATCGCACGTCCTTTGTTTTCCGACCTATACCTACCATACGATGATATTTTACGTATTTTTATAGTGTTTTTAGTTGTTTTTGATCGCTAGAAAGTCATAAAATATATTTTGAAATTTCGAAAATTTCACCTTTTTGGTCATTTTCCAGTTTTGCCAAAAAATGAAAAATTTATTAATTTTTATGTTGTTTTGATATATAAAAAATTGTAAAATGCTATAAACAACGGTTTATATTTTGTTATAGCGCCGTAGAGAATCAAACCGAAAAATTTGGTCCCCCCCGCTAACAGCCGAGCGCCGGCATACTATTCGTTGAAAAGATACTATTGTATCTAGACTTCCGATTAATCTACAGATTTTGAAAGTATACCAAAATGATAGACTTAGTCTGGTGAGTATTTTCGTGTACCTTACAACCTTGTAGGTTAATGGGGAGCCGAGCTAGAAAATTCGCACCTGATCGAATGTGGTATTGTTGATGAGGATGAACAAGTCTTCAGCAGCCACGGCTTCACGATCGACACCGGGACGCAGTGGCGTGCAATGCTTCTCGCTGTATCCTTGGAAATGGGGTTCCGCTTCCAGGTATCTGGAAGATGATAAATATATAGTAGGCCGTAACGGTACCCGTATTCATTGCCGTATGCAAGAAGGTACTGTTGCCCTTGCTTGCCCGTGATCTTGTAGGCCCTGAAAAAAAATGTTCAAAACAGGTGCTTTCGCATTATCGGGAGGGGGGATGGGGCGCAACCTTTTTCCAGACACTACAAAAACTAGATGTTTCGACCAAAATAGACAAATTTAAATGAAATATACTGTATTTTCTTTCGCCTTATTAGGCATTTCTGGCAAACCCCCTGATAATGCGAAAGACCTTCGATTTAATAAGCCCCTACTTTGCATGTTCTTTGCCGGATGTGTCGCCGAAGATGTGGCGTGCCTGCAAGCTTCCCCATTTCTTCGGTGAGTCGGAGATGAGATCCTGAAAAGCGTCTTAGTTTTCGTCAATTAAACGCAACCTTGAGAAGCGGGTGTGCAGCGGCCAAGTTCAGCAAGTCGAGCGGGCTGAAGAGGGACAGCAACGCCAGCCAGACGGTGCTCGGAAGCGTGCGGAAACGGTCTATAGAGAGCAGCGTGTCCGGCGGCTTCTGAACAGGAGGGTTAGCAAGGCCATATTTGAAGTATTTGCTAAGGCCGCGTCATGGATTTTGTTGGACACGGATCCTCGAAGCCAGGCCGGTGTGGATTTTGACTACAAGACGATCCAAACGCCCTTTTTTAAACTCCAAGCCTCTGGAAAAGCTACGCGAAGCCGAAACCTAGGCTTAGCTTCATGCAAGCGAAGCTACTTAGCTTGAGCCAAACCGACCTCGCCTGATGACGAATCCGTCTGGGTGGATTTGCTGAACATCGGGCGTGGTGCTAACATCAGAGCATGACAAACGCAATCTGCTTAATTTTCGAGCCTGTTTGTTAGCTACCGAATTCAAATTAGGACATTCACCCGGTAATGATGATTCAGTATGCAGGAAAGTTTCCCTGCTGCCTTCCAATTAGCTTTTCTCGCTTTTTCAGTCTGTTGAATGAATGTGCCGCGCCGCATCACTGCTAATACTACAAATCTGGGATCGTCAGAAAGCGGTGCAAATGCATAAACTAGAGGCGACTTCGGCAAGGCGACGCCCCTACTTTATGTGCTCTTGCACGTATTATCGAAGGGTATATGTGGAAAAGTATGCGCCGCTCAAGTCAACCGCGCTCAAATACTACATCAAGAGGTCATATTAATCAATGCGCAAGCTAAACCCTCCGCAGTAGTACATGATATGCCACTCCAAAATATAGTGTTTGACCATGTAAAAGTTTATTGGCAACAATTTTATCCGAAAAATCAACAAATTAGATAGGATTGTTAATCCATTGGCTCAGCGGTCCGTGCTCTCTCACCAGCTTGCAGTTCACACCATCAGATTGGAGTCGTCCATCGGCCCTCATTTTTTCGTAATCCTCCTTGCTCCATTTTGTGAATCCCCATTTGCGGGAGACGACGATGAACTGGCGGCCGGGGAACTTGAACTTGGCACGGCGGAAGGATTCGATGGCGTGATTGACGTTCTAAAAAAAAAAAGACATAATGGCAATCCAAAAAAGCTTACGTTTTCCTTGACACGGACGGAGAAGAGGAAGTCACCGATGTCGACTCGGGCCACCAGTCCTTGGGGCTTTCCGTACGCTCCACGCATTCCAGTTTGGAGCCTATCAGCTCCGGCACACGAAAGCATCTTGTTGATGCGTACGACGTGGAAGGGGTGCTTTCGGACACGGAGATGGAAGCCGTCCTTTCCGCAGTTCTTGACCATGTACTAAAACAAACTAAAATTTTAAAAAACCGAGATGAACAAACCTTGTTGGCGCAAATGCGAGCGGCTTCTAGAGCTTCTGAGGAAAGATGTTCCCGTTCATTCGAAATCATGTGGACACATGCTGGGAATTCGTCGACATTCGCCCTCTTCTTGCCAAGATCGAAGATGCGGATCTTCGGGTCGGGGACACCTCGGCAGAACCGCGATTTGGGGTACGGCTTGTTCTTAATGTACCGGTAGCAGCGCGCTGGACGCCTACCCATCTGGAAATGAACAAATAAGTTGGTAATCGTGAATGTAATCGAGAGAGAAATCAATCAATTGATGATGTGAGGAGTTGCCAACAGATTCAAACACGCGTTTTGCGATAGGTTTCAGGGCGTATGCTTTTATATTTTCGAAACGAGTTGCAAAATCATCAAAACCAGCGGGAACGAAGCACACGGAAAGTAGAATGTACGAAAAACCCAGAGTGAGATAGAGAAAAATGGGGAAATCGAAGCAGGGCCGATGCGGACTGCCCCGGAACGCACTGACCCGCTACGTTATGTGTATGGGCGCGTTGGCGATGAAGCAAAAAATTCCGGCGGATGGGGCCGAGATTTGATGGTTTCTTCAATAAAAAGAACTTCTTATTGTTTATAACAATTATTTTGATTTGCTAAATTGCCATAAAAATTTTCTCAATGTTTCCAACCATTTTGGGTTCTATAGAATTGACACTTGGCCCTTTCCCACCCCAGAATTTAACTTTTCGCGATCCTTTATTAGTTTTAGTTTATTTGTTAGGCAACATATGATTCTCATTTAGATGCCAAGGCCGCTTGAACTATAACCAGAACGATTCCGGAATGCTGCATGCCCTTGCGCTGAATCGTGGGAGCCTCAGGCTCTCGCAGTTGGTTCGGCCACAGCTCAGGTGTCTCCAAGTCCTTGTATTAAAATTTATTCCTTAGGTATCTGCAGAAAACGAGTATACGACAATTCCCGAAGGTGGCCGGAAGCTTGAAAGAAGTGGGTTTTTTTCCAGCTTTTTGATTCATTTTTAGGAACTCTTACGATGGGTCTCACAAGGTTTCCGGAAGTCTCACATCCGCTCCTTCCGGCTTGCCGGGCTTGGGATAAGCCTTTGTGCGCTACCTGGTCTAAGGTAAGACTTTCCGATTTTGTTGCCAAACGAAGAAACCTCCAATTTGGTCGGGATTCCGTTTTATGCTTCTGTTTCAGGCGATACGAGTGTAAATCAGCACATGTGACCAACCGACGTGCCGAACACATCAAACGTGAACGCTTGAATGAGGAAGAGCCGGCACTCGCTCTATCGGACCTATGGGGCTTAATGAAACCATACCTTGGCTGGTTCATCCTAGCATGCGCGGTTCGTGATTGTGAGCGTAACGTGATTATGCTTTTTAGAGCGCTATATTGACGGCGTTGCTCAACGTCGAAATCCCGATTCGGTTGGGCGAGCTAATCAATGCGATCGCCGGGATTATAAGAGATCAAGGTGAGAAAAAAACTCTCTAAAACTTGCTTGTCAAATGGTGCGAGTCTCTAGGTTCAACATTTAGGCGCTGGCCACCCCATCGATATCGCTGTGGTACAGCCGGCCGCGACGAAATTGATCTCGTTGTACTTTGCGCAGGTCAGTCTCGATGATGGCTTAGAAAGTCATTAACACGTTTTTAGGCCGTCCTCACTTTCTGCTACATCAGTTTTCTTTCCGTGATGGGCGAGCGGATGGCAGCCGATCTACGGGTGAAGCTCTTTGACAGGTCCGGCTTTTTCTCTGTAGAAATCTGTTATTTAGATTGCTTTCGCTTGACATGGCCTTCTACGATGCTCAAAAAACGGGAGAGCTTTCTTCACGCCTAAACTTGGACGTGCACGAGTTCAAGAGCAGCTTTAAGATGTCGGTTTCACAAGGGCTGAAGACCGCTGCTCAGGTAGTTACGATTTTTATAAATCGTCTATTCTCTCTTTAGGTAGCCGGCTGCTTCATCTCGCTTCTACGTCTTTCACCCCAAATGACTGCAATTACAATGGGTTGCATCCCCGTGGTAATCCTTGTCGGAACTCTATGCGGCACGTTATTGCGGAGTCTGAGCAGAAGGTATTTTGCTGAAATTGGTTGAGTTATGACCATGATGCTAGAGCACAAGCCCAACAAGCCGTTGCATCCGCCGTGGCTGACGAGGCATTCGGCAATATACGTACTGTCCGAGCATTCGCCATGGAAAAGGAGGAATCGGGGTGACCTTTAGCGTTATTTTATGATTTGTATGTTTTTAGTCTATACAAGAAAGAAGTGCAAAAAGCGGCCGTGATGCAGGAGCAGTTGGGAATGGGAATCGGTGTTTTCCAGGCCGGCACCAATTTATTCCTGAACGGTATTCATTAGCCGGATATTTTTCACCTATTTATCTAGGCGTTATCCTTGGCGTCCTGTATGGTGGTTCGCAACTGTTGTCAACGGGCGATATGTCACCTGGTAAGCCGATTTTTTTTTTGTATTCTCATCAGCGTTGATATATTAAAAAATCGTTTGTATAGGTGAACTGATGTCGTTTCTTGTCACCGCGCAAATGATCCAGAAATCCTTATCACAACTTTCCGTGGTGATGGGCACGGCATTGAAGGGATGGACGGCGGCGGCAAGGGTGTTCCAAGTGAGGAATTTGCCAGTGCATCCTATGTTTTTAGTTTGCCAACATTGTTCCGCTGATCCGGAATGACGACGGCGTTTGTATACCCCATCACGCCTTTGTGCCCGTGATAACGTATCTTTCAATTTTTTTTCGGACATGATTTCTTGATATCGTAGACTCAAGGAGGTGACTTAGTTCTATTTTAGATTCGAAAATATCGGCTTCTCTTATCCGACCCGCCCTGGGCACGCCGTCTTTGAAAACATGAGCCTAGAAATCCCAGCCGGGAAGGTGGTGGCCCTCTGCGGACCTAGCGGCGAAGGTATATATTGCTATTCGTAAATTTAGCCTGCTTATTACAGGCAAGTCGACAATAGCGGCTCTTTTGGAGCGCTTCTATGAGCCAACAAGTGGTCGAGTGACTGTTGGCGGCAAGGACGTGAAGGACCTGAATTTGGAATGGCTGAGATCAAGGGTCAGCTAAAGGCTAAGACCTAACAGATTTTTCAGGTGATTGGTCTCATCTCACAAGAACCCGTTCTTTTCCATACTTCAATTTTGGAAAATATCAGATATGGGAAGCCGGGAGCTACGGACGAGGAGGTGTGTTGTTCGTGCGTGAGACTAGATTCTCCTGTTTAGGTTCGTGAGGCCGCGAAGCTTGCCAATGCAGATGATTTTGTGATGAAATTCCCCCAAGGCTATAATACGGTGGTTGGCGAGAGGGGCGCCCAGCTGTCAGGTAACGCAATCAAAAATGTTAAAAATTTTTGCAGGTGGTCAAAAGCAGCGCGTGGCAATTGCGCGAGCACTATTGAAGAGCCCACCGATCCTCATATTGGATGAGGCCACTTCGGCTTTAGATGTGGAATCGGAGAAATTGGTCGGTTGATGTCTTCGCGCGGTTCTTTCGCGTTATCGAGGGGGAAACCACCCTTCTGCTAAATTCTTCACTGAAATTGCTGTATAAATTCGGTCTTTTCAGGTTCGTGAAGCTCTAGAGCGTGCGATGGGCGGAAGAACAGTGCTGGTCATCGCCCATCGCCTGTCCACCATCCAAAATGCGGACATCATTTGCGTTGTCAAGGTATTCGCTGACTCCCTTTACCTTTACTTCTCCTTTAGAACGGCGGAATCGCCGAGCAAGGCAACCACCGGGAGCTGCTGCGGAAGAAGGGCCTCTACTACCAGCTGGTGCAAGCCCAGGCGGCCAACGATTAGCGTTTTCTAACTTTGCCCTTTCCAGGTTACCTAATTTATTAGGCCATGTATGTTTCATATGTGATGAACATGAAGAAATTTTGTCGCGCTAGCTGTGATTTGTTACCCGGCTCATTCGTTGTTATAGTTTGCGACTAGTGATAAATAGTTTTTGATTTTATGTGCTTTTGAGTGGGGGGATTTTTCGGGGGAAATGATATCATTGATGAGGTAGCTGTGAGAAAGGGAATGGACGGTTGACGGGATGGGCGTGGCCAGGTGCCCCTTCTTTCTTTCGGCCGTTGGGCAGCGAAATCAATTGTGGCCTTTCGTCGAGAGGGCAACACCCGCTTCTCCCTTGCAGTGCTTATTCAAATCGGCACTGTTGAGGGCAAAATGGTCGTTTCCACCCCCGGAACTGGCCGTAGTTCCTCAACAATGTCGACGTCAGCTCGTTTGCGTCTTTTGGCAATTGGCGCCGTTTTATCGCTATTGTCGATTTTCCAGGTGCGCATTTTAGCTATTTTTCAAATAATATTTTCTTCAGATGGGCTACGCGACAGCTTTCCCCAATACGGCGATTGATGCCTTTCGTGATTACATCAACGAGACCGTCGCCGACTATGGTTCGGATTTTTTTACTTGGGTTCTTTCGCATTGATGAGGGGGAACCGAGTCCATTTTTCATCGCCAGTTTCTATATTAAAGCTATATAAAACTTTTTCTTAGTATTTTTAGCGCTATGAAGTTAGATTTTAGTTAGAAAAACTATTTATAATTGAATAGCGATTTTTAGGCTACACTCTGAGCACGGAGACCTTCTCCTGGGTGTGGTCGGCAATACTGGACACGTGGTTCGTCGGGTTCGCCGTCGGAAGCTGCCTGGCTCCCATATTGGCCGACCGGATGGGCCGAAAATGTGAGGCAAAATTCCAGAAAGTTGAATAACCACTTCCAGCCGGTCTCCTCGCCGGCAACGCGCTGAATGCCGTGTCGGCCGGGCTGAGCTTCTGCGCCGTGACGTGGCCATCGTTGGTGCTATTTTCGATCTCGCGGCTGCTCTTCTCGCTGGCGGCGGCCATATCGATGAACTGTCTGATTCTGCTACTACAGGCCCGTTCATGTAAACAATTGTTGTCGAGTGTAATTAAAAGGGAGCATAGATTAACGTGAGAATTTTGTGCGTTTTTCACCACCGGGGTCGAATTTTGATGAGCAACATCTATAGGTACTGGTATGTTAGCGGGAGGGACTAATTTTTGTTTTTGCGACACGTTGCTAATTGATAACTTATTTTATAGTGTTTTTAGTATATTTCAGTTGCTGAAACTTATAAAACTATTTTTTTAAAGTTTGAAAATGGGAATTTTTGTAACTTTAATGCCATTTCATACATTTTTGACCGAAAAGAAAAAAATCGAAAATGATTATGATTTTTCCATCTAAAAACTGTTTAAATTCTTTAAAAAGAGCCATATTTCGTTTTACGCCCTCACGGGAGTACTGGGAAAAATTTAGTCACCTCGCCAACCCCCGCCCCGGCTAACAGTCCAGTACCGTTTACGATTTTTACAGAACGACTCTCTGGACCTGAGAACCATAGTTTTTAATAAAAACTACGGAATAAAAATTTTTTATAGAAAAAGATTTATAGAACAAACTTAATAAAGCCTCAACAACGTCAAGAACTCCCGGTCCTCCTCAGTCCATTTCAGGAAGCATCCCCGGTGTCAATGCGTGGCGTCATGTCCTTCTACGCGGAGATGGCATTCGTCGTCACGAATCTGTTCGGCGGCATGGCGGGGATGAGGAGCGTCCTTGGCACCAATCTGCCCATGCTGACTGGGTGGGTTCCTTTACGTTCGCAAAAACATAGTTCCAATTCAGAGTGGCCGTCGTGCTGGCTATAGCCTCAGTTCTTGTCGTAATTCCGGTTGCTGAAAGCCCTCAATTCCTGCTCAATAAACGAAACGATACCGAGGCGGCGGCAAAAGCCTTGTTTTTCTATCAACGCGTTGGTGAGGCGATGCCCATTTTTTAAATTTGACATTTTCAGCCCCGATCGAAGAGGAATGTCTCGACAAAGGAGCGGAAAACGAGGCCGCCGGCTCGATAATGGAGATTTTGAGGACTCCCCATTTAGGCAAAGGTGGATTTTTGGATTTATCAAAAGACGCTAATTTTGTCAGGCCTTCTGCTGGGACTCTGCGCTCTACAGGTCGCCGTCTCAATCTGGCCCATCGTATTTTTCTCCACCGATCTGCTACGTCGGGCCGGGATCGATGACGATCTGTCGGAGCTCGTCTCAACAATTATGCTTTTTACCAGGTAACTTTCGAAATTATTTGCCGCAATTTTTCCCTTTTTGCTCCACAATGTATGAAAAATGGCCAAAACTGGTCAAAATTTTCGTATTTTCAAAATTCAAAAAATTTTATTATAACTCTCTAGCAATCAAAAACTACTAAAAAACTATAAAAACGCATTATACAGGGTGTCCCAATAAAAAAGGTCACGCTGGCATTTCGCCATTTCAAATCTGTTCGATCTGAAATTTGGAACAGAGCTGCGGAAGGGAATTTAAAATGTTCACAGAAACTTTCAGCCGGATCGGTACAGTAGTTTTCGAGTTATAACCAAAATACTGTTGTTTCAACACTTTTGCTTCATTTTTTCGGCTATCTTTTTGGACTTTGCATCAATTAACATAAATTTCGGCCCTAAATCCCTCATTCTTCTTAACATCGGGGATGATAACGCCTTGTTAAAATGATTGAAACAACCAATTTCCAAAACGAATTTTACGAAATAAAAAATTTCCTGGGGTAAAAAAGGGTCGGCGCTTCATTTTTGCCATACATTCCAAGGCTCAATTCCGACGAAATCCAGGTTAAAAACGTAAAATAAAGTTTATTTTTGCTATAACTCGAAAACTACTGTTCCGATCCGGCTGAAAGTTTCTGTGAACATTTTGAATTCCCTTCCGCACCTCTGTGCAAAATTTCAAGTCGATCGGATGTGAAATGACAAAATGCCAGCGTGACCTTTTTTATTGGGACACCCTGTATATGTGTTTGTCGACGCATTGACGACGTCGACACACGCACACATATAACGCAACGCATTGTCAAGAGGTATATGTGGAATAACAAAAATCCTCAAAATCCCCCGCTAACAGTCCTGTACCGTATTTTATACAAAAAGGACCGTTAAGTCACATTGCATAGCTTTCCAAAAAACAACCTTAAAATCCGCCTTTACAGCACACTCTGCACTTGCCTCGGCATGGTGCTGGTCGAAAAAATTGGCCGCCGCACCCTGTTGATAATTTCGTCACTCGTCAACATTTCAGCGCTCCTCCTATTTGTCGTTTCGGCCGAGATTACGGTATAACCTTTATTGTTACCCCCCAAAAATAAGGTACCTTACAGCCCTTCTACAGCCACGCTAACATCGGGTGCATTATTGCGATTATGGCTCATGGCGGCAGCTACAGGTGGGAAATCGTATGAGAAATTTGTTAATCGTGTATTTAGTATCGCGCTGGGTCCGATCGCATGGTTTATAGTCTCCGAATTGATGCCGATAAATGTATGAAATTTACGATTATATCAAAATTTGGTTTTGTCGCATTATCGGGGGGACCAACTTTTGCTAAAAGTCGAGAATTGACATAATAGAAAGTGGTTTAATCGTGTTTTTAATTAAATTTAACTATGTTTTAACTGGAAAGCTATCAAAAAATAGGAAAATTTTCAATTTTTATCGAAAATCGGCCCTTTTTGTTCGCAAGATCTATATTTTTGTCATTTTCTTAATCAAAATTTGTAAAGTTTTTACAAAACTTGTAGGTACGTGCCACCGGACAGTCGCTAGCCTTGGCCGTAAATCAGACGATTGCGTTGTTGCTTGTAACTGTGACGTTGCCACTTCATGACCGCATAGGTAAGGTTGAAAATAGAGGAAACAAGCGACAAAAAAAAACAATAAAATGATGAGACGCAATTTTATTCTCTCGCGATTTTAGGTGCTTGGTCTCTGTTGATCCTTTTCGTCGTGCCGGGCACCCTGGCATTGATCGCCATCTATCGATACCTTCCCGAGACAAGGGCCACACCTATAGATCATGTTATATTGGCGCTAAAGGTAGGTGAAGTATCGAGGAAATGTTTTTACTATTCCTTCACATACAAACTTTATAAGTTTTGATGAAAAAAATACAGAAAAATAGATTTTTCTATCAAAATTCCAAACTTTTGACATTCCAGGGTTTCTCGATTTTCTATCAACTATAATAATTTTCTTGACGCGTCCGTCCGTCTGTCTGAAGCCGAATTCAACTCGAAGGGGAAAGGAGCTAGAGCTTAGGTCTCTTCGGATTCGGATAGAGCGTGGTCAGAAACCCCCAAACTGATAAAAAAATTATTAAAAACTTTTAGTTTAAATTATTAAAATTAACTTTGAAAGTGGCGTCTTAATAAAACGAGTGGGGGCCCCTAGGCCACGCCCCTTTCCCTTCGCCCCTCTTCCCCAGGCCCCTTCGCGCACCCAGATCGCTTTTTTAAGTTACTTTAATACTTTTTAATACTTTTTAATTATGTTAATTAATTATTTAAATTATTTAAAGTATCTAAAGCCATCATGAAGGTATTTAGGTAGTTTTTGAAGGGGATTTCAGCCATGGGGGGTATCTGAAGCCATCAGGAAGGTATTTAGGTAGTTTTTGAAGGGGATTTCAGCCATGGGGGTATCTGAAGCCATCAGGAAGGTATTTAGGTAGTTTTTGAAGGGGATTTCAGCCATGGGGGGGTATCTGAAGCCATCAGGAAGGTATTTAGGTAGTTTTTGAAGGGGATTTCAGCCATGGGGGGGTATCTGAAGCCATCAGGAAGGTATTTAGGTAGTTTTTGAAGGGGATTTCAGCCATGGGGGGTATCTGAAGCCATCAGGAAGGTATTTAGGTAGTTTTTGAAGGGGATTTCAGCCATGGGGGGGTATCTGAAGCCATCAGGAAGGTA